AGAGCCATAGTTGACGCACCTTGGTACGTGTCAAACCAAACTCTTCACACCGACCTCAAGATCCCATATGTAAGAACCGTAATCACAGACAGAATCCAAAAACATTATCAGAAACTGGAATCTCACCCCAACAACGCAATAGAAGCTCTCCTTCAACCTACACAATACAGAAGACTAAGACGAACTTGGCCAAATGATCTCCAGGAAAACTGAGGCGTAATCGATGGATTACAGCTCTTCAAGCCAACTTAGTACAATAGAATAATTATTGTACATGACAGCAAATTAGCTCATAGAATGCAAATTCAGATTGCTAATAAATAATACGAGTAAATAAATAAAAAAGCTACAAATGGATATAGAACAGAAACAAATAAGAATACTGATTTGAAAAAGGCTTTTATTTCTCAACATGATCTCCCTGTACATTGAGGCACTTGTCCCATCGTCTCACGAGCCCCTGAAAACCAGCAGCATAAAAATTTTTTTTGAGCAGCTGTCGGAACCAGGCGGTGACTTCCCTTTCTACAGCTTCATCACCGGGAAAATGTTCAGCAGAAAGATGAGGTCGGGGCTATACGGAGGATGCCCGAGGACTTCTCACTTGAAATTTCACAGCGTCTCGTTTGTCTTGTTGACAGTATGGGGACGTGTGTTGTCATGCAAGAGTAACAGGTCTTTGGTGAGGAGTCCCTGGTCGCTTCCGTTAAATGGCCTTACGAAGTTTTCTGAGGATGTTACACTAGGAGTCAGCATTTACGGTTTGTCCTTGAGGCTGGAATGCGGTGAGCCATTCTCAACAAAATGTGCAGTGGAATGTAGAGTGTGCACGAGTTATAACATGGCCTTAGTCACACTGTCTCCCACTCACCATCCCTTCCTCGCTACTTCTCTCATGTAACCCAGATGCCATATTTACAAATATGGTCTGTATTTTAATTTGAACTCTTCAATTTGTTTCTTCATATAAGTTCATCATTTCACATCAATTTCAACATACACAAGAGCCTCACAGAAAATTCTGTTGCTACATTTATGATCTCTATCCATAATGTACTTTGTGATTCATTAGCTACTGTGAAGTAAAAACAGATCCTGCATAGCCGTCATGCTAAGGGAAAGACATGAAAATGGACTGGCATCTGATGGGATGACATTTGTATCAAGTTTCATGAAAATCTGTCCATTAGTTCCAAAGTTAACAGGTCAAGAGATACACAACCATGAAATAAGAATAAGCCTATCATTTCTTAGAAAATTAGGGCAGCAGACTATAAATGGGATGTACAAGCATTCCACACAAGACAAAATATGAAATTCTAAAGCATGAAGAAATGAATGACATGTATGTGAAGTATGGGAACAGTAAACAATAACAGTAAAAACACAGTGGGCCACAAACACATACAGGACAACATTAAAGAACCCTCTTCTCGAGAATGACAAGGTGGCACACATTCAGCCCCCGTCAAATGAAATAATAACAGGGATGACACGAACCAGCTTGGTTTATGAATTCCAATAGAATCTTAACAATCTAACTATAAATATTTTAATGTATTCGAACACCCACTGTTGTTGTAAAGACTTTAGATTTTACAGCCAATTGTATATTATTTATGTTGTATGTATATATTTTAACTTTTAGAACATGTAATAGTGGCTTCTAACTGTATTGATGTAAAGGTGTCCATCTGGAGATGGTCTCTGAAGACCAAAACATGTAAGGGCATGAATAATTGAAATAAGAAAATCTTAACCAGTCACACTGGATGGAACTATTTTAACTTTTTCATGGGATTAATTCATTTTTACAGTGAACTGCAGACTTCCAACATATTTACTGACTTGAGAAAACAGTTCCTGGAATTGTACCCTAGCTTGCATTTTATGCTGTCATAAATATATGCTTTTCTTAACCATTCTTGTTTTTCTAAAAGTAAGCAACGAACATTATAATAACGCCAAGTCTCATCTTGAAATTTTGACAAGTTTCAATTCACAATATCTTTTCAGTGCCCATCAGTCATACTTGTACACACCATACTGTATGACCATTGCAACATCATTTAAAGCCAGCATATGGTTAATTTAAGTTGGAAAGACTGTCCAGACTTGGCATATTTCACTACATAGCACAGTCTTGTTCTTGAGAAACTAACAATTCTTCATCTAGTCAAATTCCCTATGTTTGTGGAATTAAAAGCTTCATTACTTCATCCACGACAGCCTATCCTGAGCCAAATAAATCCAGTCTGCACTATTTATAATCCATAGGCCTCCTAAGCAGTCTCTTCTCAACAGGTTGTCTGACCAAAACTGTGTTAATTCATATTTTCCATGTGTTCTACAGGCCTCATCCTGATAATGTTCTGTGCTCTAATACTTGTTGCCCATGATCAAATCACGAGAACAAGCATCAGGGTGATCAGACCCTATCGGGTCCCTCAGAAAGAGCTAACCTCAGTGACTGGTCCAGTGATTCAGGCTGAGTACATCCCAAATACTAGTCTACAGTGTTACTGCTATGGCAACCCATTCACTACCACTCTGTGCACCATGGGAATACCTACGGTTTGAATTCCTTTCTAGCATTACCACTCAGGTCCTCGACTGTTTAATCCTCTGAGTGCTTGAAACATCAAGGTTGCTTGGAGTAAGTGCCATTGCACACAAAAACTCGCTATACTTCTGCACGTTACCTTCAAATGGCTATAGATGCAGAACTCACACTGGCCTGTTCTTTCCTCTAAACATCAGTAATGCCATTTATTAACAAATATGCTCTATGAAGACAGTCTCTCAGCTCTGCCAGTTTTAACGCAAGTACGCTGAGCCTGTCTAAGTGGTGGTGTCAGTCAATACCGACACAGTAACAAAACAAAATATATTAATTTCTTTTTTTTTAACATGTATTTACCATCTACCACCTTTCATATCCAAATAACATAACACTGGCACTTCACACTGTATAATCAAATAATATACATATTTAAATTTGGTTTCATCAGGTATAACATAATTTAATGTCACAGGTATTTTCAGAAATACTGCTTCAATCTCAATTTCTATCCTGAAGTCAGAAACAGCACATCCCTACAAAATGTTGGTAACCACATATGAGAAAACACAAAGTCACAACTCTGAAAACCATGATCCAAGTATTCACAGCCATGAATAACCAAATGTAACATACAATTCAACATATGAAACCCATGAAAATAATTAGTTCTCTCCAGTAACAATACTTCAATGAGGTCCAGTTTTGACAGCTCAACTGGAACAAAGATCTGTAATAGTACAAAATGGACCAAGTATCTCAAATAAGACACCACAGACACAAAGAAGGCATCTATTACAAAAAATACAGTGGAAGCCCCATTTAATATTCCCCATTTTTTTAAATTTGCTTAGTGGGGGGTGGAGTCCAACCGGGTCCACTCGGCACGATGGCCACTGATTGGCCTATTATAGCCTGCCCCGGGTGATTATGATAATGGAGAATTTGGTGGAATGAAGATTGGCAGGGGAAACCAAAGTACTCCGAGAAAAGCTGCCCCAGCGCCACTTTGTCCACCACAAATCCCACTTGCCCAGACCCAGGATCGAACCCGAGCCGCCACAGTGGGAAGCCAGCGACTAACCGCTTGAGCTATGGCCCTGCCTTTTTTCCCTCCTTTAATTTCAATAGTCCCAGTTAATCTCATTGTTAAATATCCCCCTTTAAATCTTCATCACACCAAGAATTAAGCACTCTGGCCTCATTTATGATTCCATCCTTTTCTCTGTCTTCTCACATTTCTTTTGTCATACACTTCGCACACCACAGTTTGTTGAGGCATGTCAGTTCTATCTGTTTCCTGGAAATTTCATCAGTTTCATACTCAAACCTTAAATGGGGGTCTCTCTACAGTCAGAAAATGTTATAGAAATGGACTTCATTTTAGAGTAAATATGTTCTTGGTACCCAGTATTAAATTATGCTAAATATCAACTGCAGCAGTACATTCTCCATCAGGACTGATGACGGCTTGAATCATGCTCATGCTTAACTGCCACAAAACTTGGGCCAGCTCTGGGTCTTGGGCTGCCTTGCTAGGTTCACAACGGCAGCAGTTGTTGAAGTAAAGTCCTGTGGCACCTTCCAACTCTGGTGCAGTTGCACAGTACACAGTTGTGCTTGCTGCTTGTTGCTGCAAACAGACACACACATCACACTTTATATTAACCCAAACACATCCTTCCCCATTTCAAGCAGCCTTCCCTAGGAAGAGAGATGTAATTAGTTAATTTATATATCATTAATGACAGTCAGTAGCTCAGACTGGTAAGATGACAATAAATGATGAATTGGAGAGGATGTGGAAAGAAGTGGCCGAGACATATTTCAGTGTACTATCCTGGTATATGACTGGAGCAACTGTGGAAAATCACGGAATATTGCATAATAGTCAGTACTGCAGCTGAGATTCAAACTGTACACATACTGAGTCCATGTTACTACTTTAGCCAGCTTGATCAACTGATACCTACAGTATACAACTGGCCTGTGAACTACCAAACCTTTAATGTATGAATGTTAGATTTATCTAATGCAGCACACGTGCTTTGTTTAGGAGTGCTGATAGTTTGACCTTCAGCTGGAAACCCCCACAAACCCACGCAAGGTCAAATCAGTGGTTCATTCCTGAACAATGAAATCGTTTATCACCATACTGGTTTTGATACTATTTATGTTTAGAAATAACTGTTTATGATGGGTCAGCCAAACAGAGCACAGCTTTGTTCTTAGAACTGAGAAGTAAATATTCATCTAAGCATGCAGATTAGGGCTACTTGAGCTTGCAAGAAAGTGGGTTGTTTTCAAGAATTTGTTTTCAGTAGCAAATTATCAGTCAGAAGGTCAGTATCGGATTGTCAATTATTTATTTATTTATAAAACATTTTTATTATGTGTCTTGGTAGAGGTATAAAGCTACTGAAGACAAAAATGCACATATGGGCTTTGTGGATAAATCTAACAGGATGGCAAATAGTTACAGAATTGCCTGGAGGACATGGAAATCAACAAAGAAATTATTTTTCCACCTTTTGGACATGACTATTCTCAATGCCTATTTATTTCACACGTCATGCGGTGGAAAAATTACACATAAAAAATTCAGTAAAGTCCTAGTGCGGGATTTGATTGTACGGTTGCATGAGGCGAATATCATGGTTAGTGCCATTTCTCGGGGGAGACCTATGGGCTAGGCTGAAGCTGAGGTGTGGGTCTAGCTGGGAATGTGGTGGGGGTTCTCGTACCCATCCAACCATCAATATTCTAAGAGAATAATAATTCCCTTCTTGCACTGGATGATTCAGCTGTAGCGTTTCCTGCAGCTGAACAGAGTCACTTGTTGGCGAGTCTTCTGCTACTATACAGAATGACGAAATCTCTCAGGTGCTCAGTGAAGGGTCCACTGGGAGAGAGGAAGGCTGAATGAAAGAGATCTCTTGAAGTGAGTGAGCAATCTGCACTGCAGGAGGAACTGGAGGGCCTAGGCACATACTGGCCAATACCATTAAAATTAATTTTAAAGAAATAGAATGTGAGAGTACTGACTCGATTTGTCTAGCTCAGGATAGGGACCAGTGCCAGGCTGCTCATAATTTCTTTCATAGCTAAGCAACTATTAATTTTCCAGGACTCACTTCCACTGAGCCACTTGTTAGTTATTACCCTACACCTTATTCACATGGGCCTTAACCTGAATTACAGCAAAGTTGCATAGACTATTCTGGAAGGAGCAGATTTGTACTTTGTGACTGGAGAATAATCATGGGGCTTAAACGATCAAGAAATGGAACAAACTGGTTACAGCATTTCAATATAGTTTAAAATTAAAATATCCTGCATTGCTTATCTATATATAACTTGGCTTTCCTAGTGTATTGTGTTCAAATTGAAATTGTTTGTATCAACAATGTAAAAATGTCCCTATGCTTAATTAAAAATCCTGTCATGAAGATGTCTGAAGAATGGAGGTACAGCTCTATGCATACTTTGGTCACAAGATGAAGGTTTAAACAGCTTCATGCCCCAGCAGCTTTATCCCCAAAGGAGAGCCCGTGGAACTCAATGGAGACTGGATAGGCCTCTAAGCTAGGACAGATATTGTGGGAATTAGAATCTCTGGCCCCTATCATAATCACACACTGCTTCCTGGGACATACATGCCTAGTGTAATCACTGTCTTAACTCTCTTCATTATACAAAATTAAATGTTAAAATTCTGACTGATCTATACTAACCAGAGATTTTGTGAATGGTCGTACAATGGCAAACACTAAACGGTAAAACCACCAGTTACGATTCAGATTCGAGCTGACCATGTTTCCAGGATGAAGGGTGTTGACAATAATGTCCCTCTCTTCCCACATTCTGGCAAGTTCCAGCCCAAACAGGATGTTACATAATTTAGAGTTGTTGTACGCCATCATGGACCAGAAATGTGTTGCCGACGTTGGTGACAGTGCTGTCTGGCTAAGCGTAGTACTGCTCAGATTAGCAAACCTGCCAAAAAAAATACCACATGAAGTAGACTGGTCAGTAGAATAAAACTCAGAAGCAAGATTCATGCCACTGTAAAGTTTCATACAATCAACAGGTTAAAGATACATCATCTATATCAGAAATTTCTGGCATATTTTTATACAATAATAAAATTTAAAGTGAGATTTGAGTTTTTAGAGTGGTGACTATGAAGATTACCGCATTCAGGGGTTTCTTTTAATGCTAGTGGGGTGGGACTAAGTCCCTTGTATGGCGTCCACTTCTGGCCTATTGTACCAGCCCCAGATGATAGGTGAGGGTGATTGTGGAGCAACTGGTGGAATGAAGATTGGCAGGGGAAACCGAACTACTCGGAGAAAACTTGCCCCAGCGCCACTTTGTCCACCACAAATCCCACTTGACCAGACCCGGGATCAAACTCGAGCGGCCACAGCAGGAAGCCAGTGACTAACTGCTTGAGCTATGGCACGGCCAAGGTAAAGGTAAGGTAAAGTCCTTGTGCTTAATTAATTAAGCACCATGACATGAAGACGTGTTTGAGAGTGGATGTATAGCTCAACTATTCCTGACCTTGACACTAGTTGGAGCTGAGTGGTCAGTTTCATGCCCCATCCATTTTAGCCCCAAGGAAAGAGCCTTGGTACCCACTGTATGGGAGGTTGGGTGGACCCCACAGCTGGTCTGGACACTGTAGAATAGAAACAAATATCTTGCCCCCTCCAGGAACTGAACCTTGGCCATCCAGCCTGTAGCCCACTGATTTACCAACTGAGCTATCCTGGCTCCTTGTTCTGAACAAACACATCTTAAAACATCACATACATTGCTTGACTATGAAATATGATTTTCAGTCAGGGCCTGTTTATCTAATGCAAGCAGAGCCCCACAAATTGGTTGCTATCCAAACAGCAGCACTCCAGCAGTAAGGTTGTTGCCTTTAAGCCTCTGGACCAGGTATATCAAACTCAACTTGTACAGAGGGCCACCTCAGCCCTATAAATAATAGTCCAGGGCCACACTTCAAAATAGAACTATACATTAGATTTTGATACTCGTAGTTGATAATTTAATGTTTAATTATAACCTTTATACGTTCATCACAATGTAACATCAGTACCTGTTGCTGTGTGAAAATGAACTGAATGACAATGTACAAGAGATTACTGGACTAGTAGGAAGGTGTATCTTGTCTCAATGGTCATAAAAGTGAAAGTTTGCTAGCAGCCCATTAGACAATGGCTGGGGGTTGCAAGCTAGTTTTGAAGGTATAAATCCCTTGCACTTGTCTGTCAGTTGCCACCCTCCTTGCATTCTTGCTATGCTTCCAAAAGGGATTCTTAGAAATACTTGGGATGGTGAGGCTGTCCGGATTTTAGTGCATGAACCTTCTGAAATACAATAGTTTGTCTTTCACGAACTTTACACCCCGTTATTTGGACAAACCCGTCTGCAATTCTCAGAATCACTTTTCCCGCAGCCTGCTAATTTATGTCTGCGTGAGACTTCTTGTCTTCTGGTCTGTTGGAAAATTGTCTTTACAAAAAATATTTCTACTAAAATTTTAATATTGATTTTAATATCAATTAGCTCTAAAAGTTGAGGTGCCGCATGTTTGACATGGCTGCTCTCGACAGTCTCCAGTTGGCAGCATTTCTTCCAACAGTGATGTAAGAGCTCCGGCTGTGAATTTGGTGTCATAACCATTTCACCTTTAATAGCATATGTCAGGGAAAGGTGAGGTTCATAACTGAGTAGGAAAAGCTACAGGATATGCATTCTATAGCTTATGCTCCTTATACTGGAAAGGATGAAATGATGATTGAGAAATATGAAGAACATTCTGAACCTGAATTGCATCCTTGTCTTCACTGTTCTGAATATTTACAGTCAACTCTTATCTGTTTGAATGAAAATTAAGCCAGGCTAGATCAGTTGGTATAGTAACTAGGCTATGAGCTGGATGAGTGATTAACTGGGGTTTGGTTCCTGGTACAGGTAAGAGATGTTCTCATCTCCACAGAATCCAGACCAGCTCAGGTATCAACCCAGCCTCCTCCCTAATGTATACTGGGGGAGGGGCTTATTTCTCTGGGGTAAAGTAGCCAAGGCATGAAGCTGACCACTTACCTCCCTCTAGTACTGAGGTTGAAAATGCACAGAGATATACTTTCACTCCTCCATTCATCTTCATGGCATTAAGCTTAATTAAACACAGGGACAATTTTACCTTCATCATAATATTGTGACATGTTGCCCCTACCTCCCCAGCTGCACGTAGCGGTAACCTAGCGCTCGCGTAATAGGCGAGTGATCACCCCGCATCCTGGTAGCTATGCAACGCGCGGTGACATCACGAGCGGAGCCGAAGTAAGCCGAGCGGAGCCGACGTTAGCCGAGTCCCCGCGACCTTGAAGCTATGCAAAGTGAGTCAACAGCGGTGACGTCACCGAGGGATATCGCGGTTGCTAGGCAGCAGTCAACAACTCCGGACAGCGTGGCTAGTAACACGGCACCAGACGACAATTGTCCGACCGAGGCTACATAAGGAGCAGCGAAGGCTATTCACAGTCAGTCCTGGAGCTACCGCCGAGTCAGTCCTGGAGCTACCGCCGAGTGAGTCCTCGAGCTACCTCCGAGTTAGTTCCGAGCTAGCCAGCAACTAGTCAGTTGTATTGTGGCATTTGGAGTGTACTAACTGTGATACTGCAGATAGCAGTAATCGTAAATCTGTAATTTGGGTGACTGTAAGTGTGAATGTGAAATAAAATTCACTATACCAAATACGGCGTGAAGTTATTTGTCGCGTTATACGCCCGATACGCGACAATATTGTACCATAGCATCCTGCTGAACATAACATAACATATTTATTTTTGTTAGTTATCCATCTCGCATGAAACATGCTCTTTAAAACTTTTAAACGTTAAAATCCCTTCTACATCACTGGTATATGCACACTACATGTTTTGACCAACCCTGGTCATTTTCAGGTGTCACTAAACTTGCTGATGAAACTGCTGTGCTTCCATCCCCAAGTTCAATTTTTGGGATATTCCCTCGTCTTTGCACTCATGTCCTGTGGTGATAGTTAGTTCCTCTTATTGTGTCATGTGTAGCTGTTATGAAAGTTTACCTTTACACACAAAATAAATTAAAGAACACCTATGTAAAACTATATCTCTCACATCTGGGGTAGAATAGACTAAACTAATAGACTAAGAATAAACCCGAACCACTTCACAGTTCTACACACAGATGGTAGGTTAATATTAAAACAGAACACACTGAAACAGAATATGAAGATGTGGATTGGTTCTCCTAACAACAGAGACACTGACAAGCTCTTGTGAACGTAGTAATCAATCGTCACTTTTCTTTCTTAGTAGGGGGGGGGGGGGGTTACTAAGCAAATACTCCATGGAATGCCTTTAACTGTACAATGGTGGACTCCCTGACCACACATTTGTTGTTCAGGAACACTACATCTGTATGGCCACAGCAAAGGTTCAAAAATGTCTTCATGAACAAAACTGTGATACCACAAATTAACCCTTTGACGTGGTCATTTAAATTCTGCGGCCGCGGCTCCTGCGGTAATATATTCAGCCGGCCATTTAAATTTTGCTCGAAAATTATTTATTCATCATTGTTCTTAAATTCTATGAGATAGGAAC